CCCTAGAGTCGAACACGACTGGACTAAATGTCAAGGGGAACCTTTACCTTTTTATGCTGCCCACTCTACCCAAAGGTCTCTGGGCGGCTTATAACAATTAAAATACAATTTTAAAAAACATGTTTCCAAGCTTACCCTTGCAGCTATAAGGGGTAGAAACGTGCCCAAGTGGAAGTCCGCATTCACACACACACACACACACACACACACACACACACACACAAACGCCAATCAGAAGGCTAGAGGTGTGTACCCAGGTAGGAAGGTGTGTGTGTTGGGGGGAAAGAGACTACAACTCCCAGTGGCAGCCTGGGGAATTCTGGGAATTGGAGTCCGGAGACAAATGCGCCCACAAGCAGCAGGAAAAGGCAGGAGGGACGAATCCAGCCCTGCCTGCCTGTCTCCACTGATGGCCCCCCCTTCACACACCCCCGAGATCCATTTGTTCATGATAGATGAGGCCTGTCACTAAGCTGGGACTTTTTGGGGGGGGGCTCCCAAAGGTGGAGGGAACCTGAATCTGGAGGCACATCTACGGGTGAATAAATATAAATGGCAGTGTATTCTGGTCACTTTCCTTTAAAACACAAAAAGGCATGAGTGTATTAAATCTCCTTTTTATGGGGGGCAGGGTTCATGCCCACCCAGAAGGGCCGGGACCCCCCTCCAAAATGGCTCGCAATACCTCTGTGGTGGGCTCTCTCGTCTTCCCTTCCCCCCCCAAACCATGGAGATATTGCCGGACCAACAATATGGGCTCTAGGGACAGACTAGGAATCGGGGTTGATGGCCCATGATTATCCTTCTACACAAACGCATATATTTCAGTTTGTGTCGATTGCTAAATTTTGTAGCCATTTGTCTACTTCCGGTTTGATACTCCGGTGCTTCCTGTTCTACACGGCTTTGTTTTGCTATCTTGTATTTGTTTGTTTGTTTGTTTGTTTGTTTGTTTGTTTTAGGAAGAATTGCAAACACCTCCTTGTCACCCCGATACAGTAGCCTGGTGGTTTGGTAGTGGGTCAGGCAGGATAATTTCCCAGGGGTCATTCATGGGCTTTTATTAGTGGGAGAGAAGTGTGTGTGTTTGAGAAAGGAAGGAAGGAAGGAGCTGATGACGGATAAGAGGAAGGAAGGAAGGAAGGAGCTGATTATGGATAAGAGGAAGGAAGGAAGGCACTGATAAGAGGAAGGAAGGAAGAAAGGAAGGAGCTTATTATGGATAAGAGGAAAGAAAGAAGGAGCTGATGATGGATAAGAGGAAGGAAGGAACAAAGGAAGGAGCTGATGAGGGATAAGAGGAAGGAAGGAACAAAGGAAGGAGCTGATGAGGGATAAGAGGAAGGAAGGAAGGAAGAAAGGAAGGAGCTGATGATGGATAAGAGGGAGGAAGGAAGAAAGGAAGGAGCTGATGACAGATAAGAGGAAGGAAGGAAGGAAGGAAGGAAGGAAGGAAGGAAGGAAGGAAGGAAGGAGCTGATGACGGATAAGAGGAAGGAAGGAAGAAAGGAAGGAGCTGATGACGGATAAGAGGAAGGAAGGAAGAAAGGAAGGAGCTGATGACGGATAAGAGGAAGGAAGGAAGAAAGGAAGGAGCTGATGACGGATAAGAGGAAGGAAGGAAGGAAGGAATAGACGGGCGTCTAGTGGTTAGCGGAGTGGGCTGTGGTCCTAGGCCAGAAATGGACTTTACTTGACAGCTTCTGTATAGATTCGTAGATAAAATAGCAAATATGAACTGTCTCCAATACCCGGCCTCTCTCGTCCCCCTCCTCATTTTTGTGGCAGGCTCGAATTAAGAAGATCATGCAGACGGACGAGGAAATCGGCAAAGTGGCTGCAGCCGTTCCTGTGATCATCTGTATCCTCCTTCCCGGCTGGCCGAGGTTTCCCTCCTCTCTCAGGGAAACCCACACCGAAGGGATGGGTCTGTGAAATGTCACATGGATTGCTCGGAGAGAGTTGTACGAGTTCCACCCCCAAGATCCAGTCTTTCTGGCTGTGGTTCCCCAGGAGTTATAAAATGTCCCTGGTGCTTTCCGGAGCCTCTCTCAGCCCAAATCCTTTCTTCCTTGGAAACCACGAACTTCGCGCTCGTGTGGATGCGCTGTGCGACTGAATGGCATTCTGTGCACCGAAAAAGCGAAAACCAGGGGAATTCTGTCCTCCCAATTTAAAATGGGTTTCCCTGTAGGAAATAAGAAACAGTGGCCCAAATCCAGTGGGCAATTTACATGGGCCTAAATGAAACCGTGTAAGTCATGGCAGCAAATTGCCACTAATTGCAGGATCGTGATGGTGTTCCTTAGTGCCTTCCAGAATGCAATCGGCACTTAAATAATTAGGGGTAATTTGCTGCCTTGGCTTAGACGGGTTCACTTGGGCTTGCATAAATTACTAGTAGATCGCTCAGTGGTTGAGGTCTTTGTCTGCAGAGCCAGAGGTTGGGAGCTTGATTCTCCGCCGGGCTGGCCTCCCGGGAGAAAAGCCAGCCTGGGTGGCCTTGGGCCGGCGGCCCCCAGAAGAAGGGGCTGGTTAATCACCTCTGAGTACAGTGGTGCCTCGCATTACGACGTTAATTCATTCCAGCGAAATTGCTGTAGAACGAAAACGTCGTAAAGCGAAAATTAAAAAGCAATTGAAACACATTAAAACCTGGTTAATGCGTTCCAATCGGCTAAGAACTCACCATCCAGTGAAGATCATAGGGGCGGCCATTTTCGGGTGCCTGTGGAGCGAAAAATGGCTCCTGAACACAGCGGGGAGCCATTTTGAGCACCCAGCGGCCATTTTGAAAACCCGACGATCAGCTGTTTTGATCGTCAGGAAGCGAAAATCAGTTCCTGAAACAGGGAACCGATCATCGTGCAGCGAAATTCCCCCATTCAAAACGTCTTGTGAGGCACCACTGTATTCTCTCCCTGGAACACTCTGAAAAAAGGGGTTGCCGTAAGTCGGAATTGACTTGAAAGCATATGATGAGGATCGGTTTCTGGTCATTTTAGGAAAATGACAAATTGCCCCATCTTTGTGGGTGGGTCCTATCCCGGCATGCCTTAACTCTGACTCCAAAACAAAAGCTCGTGCCCTGGAACTCTTTCTAGAATCGCTGCTGAAAAACGCCTGCCACGTGACGCAGTCCAGAAACGCCAAGACGATGACAACGTCCCACTTGTGAGTATCCCCTGCGCTGGTGCTGAGGGTTGGGTTGCGCTGAGGCCGGAAGCCGAACAGCCGGGCCTGCAGGCTCCCTGGAGAACGTTTGGCAGGTCGGTAACCTGCATCTCCGGGCAGGGCCGGCAAGGACCCCTGAATCTCGGCCGTCCGTGGGGGGCAGTCATGATTTGAAGGGATCAACAGGCCGTGTCAAATCACGGACTGCTTCTTCTCCTCGTATTTAAGTACATTGGTGCCTCGCTTAAAAAGCGCACCGTTTAACGACGAATCCGCATAGCGACGCGTTTTTTGAGATCGCTAATGATAGATAGGCTAAACATCGCATTGCGATGATCGGTAAGCGTTTCGATGCTTTGCGATGTTTAGAAAACAGCTGATCAGCTGTTCCAAAATGGCCGCTGGGTGCAGAAAGTGGCTGCCCGCAGCATTTTCGCGCCCTGCCCTCGCTTACCGGGCAGCGAAAATGGCGGCCGGATGGGGGAATCTTCGCTTACCGGTGAGTTTTTCCCCAATAGGGATGCATTTGGAATTGTAATAATTCCAAAAAATAACACTCCCGAGCCTCTTCCAGCAGTGGGGTGCTTCTGGGAGAGGCCGGAAGGGGGAAGGAAGGAAGGAGGTTTGACTTATTATAAGCCAGTTTCCTCTCTTTCTTTTTCAATCAAGCCTATTTGAAGTCCACCGTCTTCCTTTGCTTTTTGGCGCCTTCGGAGGGTCTGAGGAGGTTTTGCTCCTCGGGGGGCAAGCGGGCGGGCGGAGCCGCCTGGGCAGGAGGCCCTCGTTTCCATCCCTGGCATCATTGCATTTTGGAGCCAGAGAGATTGGCGTACGAATTTGGTTCTTACATCCTTTGCCATGCAGAATTGGTATTGGTAAAAAAAAAATAATTACATTGCTGTAAAAAATAAAAACACCGGATGAACTTTCTTGCATCTGCTGGTGAGGCCGGGAGGGAATCTGACCTGAAACGGTGGCTTTCAGCAGGAATTTTTCTCTCTTCTCCTCTACAACCCTGGCGGGCGGTGTTTCTGAACATGTACGCCAACCCTGTGGTCTGGCTTTACAGGAAACAGTGCATTGAGCTGGAGCAGCAGTTCGACTTCCTGAAGGACTTAGTGGCCTCCGTGCCGGATATGCAGGGAGATGCAGAAGACAACCACATGGAGGGGGAGAAAGTTCCCAGGAGGTAAGGGAAACCATGGGGAAGGGGGTGGGGGGGTGGACCTTAGATGATGATGATGATGATCAGGCTATTTGGAGGATGGTATCACCCCATAGGGACATGGGTGGCGCTGCAGGCTAAACCGCAGTAGCCTCTGTGCTGCAAGGTCGGAAGACCAGCCGTCGGAAGATAAGCTGAGGAGAGAACAAAAACAAATGGAGGGGAAAACAGGGATCAAAGCGATCCTGCAGGGCTTTGATCCCTTTCCCCCTGCACTTGCTAAGCCTCACTTAGATTTCTTAATTTTGGATTAGAAAAGTGAGGGGGGCGTCTTATACACTGAAAAATATGGTACGAGCGAACCCCAAGCTGCAAGATGCTGCCAGTCCCGTTTTGCATTTTATAGGGCGTGGGAGTTTTGCCCGGTCTTGAAGGGACCAGGCTTTTCTAGAGATCCTGACATCCCAACTTTAAAAAATAAATTAAAACAAAGCAAAATTTAAAATAAAATGGACCATTAGCGGGCGCAGGGTGGCGTTTTCTGTAAAAACAAGGCCCTTTTTGGAAGAGGTTTTACGGTGGGCATTGCAAGTGCAGTCCTCTGAGGTCCAGGGATGACCGCAGGCTGTTCCAAGCAGGGCCGTCATTAACCTACGGCGTGGCTTCTAAGCTTTTAAGTATCAGGCCCTTTAGTCTTTCACCCCACAACAGCTGACAGCCCTAGGATGCCTTAGCAAAAAAAAATAATGCATATATATGGATGGTTGCCTAGTCATGAATAACACACTTCCGGCCTCCCAGAGATTTAGGACTTTAATTCCTTGAATCCTTGACCTCCTGCTTTGCTGGCTGGAACTTCCGGATAACGGGGTGGGTGGGTGGGTGGAATCCTTAACGAAAGAGTAAGAAACCCCTGATCTAAAGTACGCCGAGACAGATGACCCAAAGATCGGAGGCCGTTCAGTTCTTTATTACTTCCCTTGATATTTATTCATGAATCCCTCCATCACCAACCCTTTTTCCCCATTTAAAACTATGTTTGCTAAGAAGATTTTTCTCTCTAAAGCAAGAAAACGCCGGCCGGACCGGGGCTGCGGAGATCCCGGTCGGCCGTGACGTTTCCCCGAGTGACCGGTCGCTCCCTTTCCGCTTGCTTGTTCAGGAAAAAAGGGCGACAGGGTTGAGAAAAATAAAAGAGGGTATAGGAAAGTGTTTGCTACCCCAAGCTTGAGGGAGGAAAGCAGTTCAGTAAATAGAGGCCGAGATTCTCAGGCCAACGCCTGCCAGCCTTTCCAACCTGTGCTGCGGTGATGATGTTTTTTTAGGTCACACTCTCTCTGTGGCTGATGTGTGGTTTTGGGGGGAAAAATCATTTTTAAAAAAGGTATCTTGTTGTTTTTAAAGTACCCAACACTTTCTGGAGGTTTCCAGGGCCAGAAATGCAAGTTTCCGACAGATTCTTCAGTCCGGGCAAAGGATTCTCCGTTTTTTTTTTTACTCATCTCTGCTTTTTTCTCTCTGGCTCAGGGGCCGGAAGCCGGGCAGCGGGCGCAAGAACGGCGGCACGGCGGGGAAAGGGCGGGATCCGAAGCAGTCGGGCACGGACTCCGAACAAGAGGTGTGTGAGGTGTGAGGGCAAAGACACCGTGGTCTATCGTGAAGCGAAAGTGCTTGTCCTTCCTGGGTCTCGCCTGTCGGAGGAGGCTGTCAACGCCGCCACTGCCCAGATCAACCGGTCTGTTCTGATAAGAGATGGGCACCGACTACTGGTTCGTTGGTTCGTGCTGGTTCGTCCACATGTCGAACGGTTCCGAGCCCTGCCTCCTCTGTTCTGCGGTTCCGAGCCCTGCCTCCTCTGTTCTGCGGTTCCGAGCCCTGCCTCCTTTGGCAGGCGCCCGCTTGGAGGCAGGGTTGATCAGAAGGATTAGGAGCTTCGGGTCCCGATCAAGTATCCTCAGAAAGCTGGGGGGGTGGCTGATCAGGAGGGGCTCTAGTGCCAACATCTCTGCCAATTCTCACCTCCACCCCAGCACTGATATTTTGAACAGTGTCCTTTAAATTTCTCATTATGCCCCTTCGTACCCTGTCCTGGGGAATCTAGTTTGCGTCTGCCCATCAGAGAGTGCACCAGCCCTCGATAAAATACAGTGCAAAGCTTTTAAGCTAACTTTATAGAACTAATTTGTTGCCCCAATCTTGTGCGTGCTCTCTCTCTCTCTCTCTCTTTTACTGTAATGGGTCTACTCTAAGGAATGGTCGGATTTGTAGGTTTGGTGCAGTCCTGAGAATCATAGATCGATAGCCCTCTTCAGATCGATAGCCCTCGGGAGGTGGCGAGCGCTCCAACGCTGGAGGCCTTCAAGAGAAAATTGGACCACCCTCTGTTAGATCTACTTTGCTTTTGGATTCCTGCCTTGGCCAGGGGGTTGGACTGGATGGCCTCACAAGCCCCTTCCGACCGCATGATTCTATGAATCGTCCCTGGCAGTCTGTGGCTGGTGGTGGGCGCTGACGTGCCAGCAGAACCAACCCTTAGCAGGAACGAAGACGGCTGTGTGCTAAATGTTTTCTGCTTTGTGTAGGATGATTCTGAAGACAGCGAGAGCAACGGGGAGGAGGAAATGTCCCAGACGGCTCCCCCAGTCCGGCCCGCCACGCATCTTTCTACGTAAGAATTTTTTAAAATATCATTTTTCTATCATCATAGAATTGTAGAGTCAGGAGACACACACACACACACACACACACACACACTGGTTGGCATTCTTGCTTAGCTGGCGGGGTCGTTTTCTACGAAGCTCGAAATAAGGCAACTGAAAATGAAATTGTCAGCCTTCAGCATTACGAAATCGAAAAATCAAGGTGTTGCTGTTTAAAAGGAGAAACGTTCAACACATTGGCCAAAATCCTATTTTCCCGTAGTCGATTGCACTAGAGGTGGCCTATTCGAGCCAAAGGGGTTTGGTGGTTCCCCTCCTCTTTTAAGCGCCGTTGATTCAAAGGAGCCTACTCTAGTTGTGACTTTACTTTAGCACGTTACGTTACAGCTAGAGTAAGCCCATTTGAATCAAGGGAACCTCCAGACTTCTTGAACAGATGGCCAAGTAACTATTGCAGAAAGTCTAGCAGGTGAGTCGCTGGAGGGGTCTCTTCTCCCCCGGCCATTTCAACGTCCCCACAATCCGCTGTCTATCACACCCACCTTGTTGAAGTCATACTCTTGAAAACCACTGTCTTTCCGTCTCCCATAAGTAATGTTTGCAAAAAAAAAAAAAAAAAAGCTGTTCCCTGCCTTCGGCCCTCTTAAGGAGGAAGGCAGGGCATACATATTTTAAATACAGTGGTGCCTTGCTTAGCGATTGCTTCATTTAACGATGTATTCGCTTAACAATGGGTTTTTTAAAACAATTTTCCGCGTCGTTTAACGATGTTTCCTATGGGCGATTTTCGCTTAGTGATTTTGGGACCAGGCTTTGCGTAGCGCATGCATTTTGGGTCCCCTGTTTCGCTTAACGATGTCCGTTTTTGCAAAATTAAAAGTGTCTTAAAATGTTCAAAAACAGTTTTAAATGCTTGGAATCGTTAGAGCACCTTGTAAAACGTGTGCAAACTTAATTTGGCTTTGTTCTGAGTCTTCGTTAAGTTTTGGTGAATTTTCCCCCCATTGAAATGCATTGAACCCAAGTTTCACAGCTGTCAAACGGGCACTTCAATGCATTCCAATGGGGGAGAAAATAATTCACCAAAAATTAACGAAGAGTCAGAACAAAGCCAAATTAAGTTTGCACACGTTTTACAAGGCGCTCTAACGAATCCAAGCATTTAAAACAGTTTCTGAGTCTTCGTTAATTTTTGGTGAATTTTTTTCTCCCCCATTGGAATACATTGAAGTGCCCGTTTGACAGCTGTCAAACTTGGGTTCAATGCATTTCAATGGGGGGGAAAATTCACCAAAAATTAACAAAGAGTCAGAACAAAGCCAAGTTAAGTTTGCACACATTTTAGAAGGTGCACTAACGATTCCAAGCATTTAAAACATTTTTGAACATTTTAAGACACTTTAAAAATAGCGAAAAAGGGCATTTCAAAACCATTGAAATGCACTGAATAGGCTTCAATGCATTCCAATGGGGGAAACATTGTATCACTTAGTGATGTTTCCTATGGCGATTTTCGCTTAAGGACGGCAATCCGTTCCTATTGAAACGGATTATCCGGTTTTCAATGCATCTCTATGGGAAAACGTGTTTCACTTAGCGATGTTTTCCCATAGCGATGTTTTTTTTGGAACCAATTAAAATCGTTAAGCGAGGCACCACTGTATTTCTTTTAAAATAGAAATCTAAATTTGAATCAGGTTTTCTAGAGCATAGAGGATTAAGCGTGCTCCAAATTATGGCATCTCCTTCGTCTGCTTTAGGCATTTAAAAAACCACACGTACATGGAGGATTTTACACTGTTTAGAGGGGTTATATTGGAGTGCCGTCTATGCCTGATAATTCCAGGCCTTCCCGTCTGCATTGGGAGCGAGCTTAGCTCAGGGCATGCGGAGAAGCTCCCTGGCCGCTTGCTGGTGGGCAGAGCACTAAACATTACATTAGAAAAAGTAACTGTAGTGACAGCCCCCACCCAAGTAATTAACCACCCCCGGAGCTGTGTGTGTGTGGTTTTTTTTCCCAGTGTCCGTCCTCACCATTTAATTCAATTTCTTTTGAGTCACTTTTAAAGGAACTCCTCCTGGCATGGGAGACAAAAACCGCATGGAGGGGAAGTTCCCTTTTTTAAAAAGGAATTAGTTACAATTGCCATGCCAAGGCCCCAAAAGTAGTTCCTGGCTGTAGTCGTGACATATTTTTTTATTCGCCGCCCTTTGCTTCCTTATGATTTAAAAATAACTAAAATACGTTATTTTGGGGGGGGGTGGATGGGGGACTCAGGTTCGTGGGGGGGGAAGAAATGCTTCGCCATTATGGCTGTGTAGAGCTGCCCTTAAGTCCGTCCACAGGATCTTATCCTGGACCATTTCCCTTTCTGAGTTGCTCCTGAGCAGACCTTCGGAGCAGGTCAAAAAGCGGAGGCCCTGGGGGCCTCCACGCCCCCCCACCTCAGCAATTCCCATCCTGATCTCTCTCTCTCTCTCTCTCTTTCTATGTTTTTTTTTCTTCCCCCCTCCAGTGCGCCAGCGCCATATTTACACTTCACCTCCCCCCCGGTTTCTGCCATCCCGATTCCCGTCTCTGCCCCGGCGGGGGCCATGCCGGCGGCCCCTCCACCTGCGCCCCTCGGGCCGGTCCGGGAGGATGATGAAGAGGAGGATTCCGCCTCCTACCCCTCGGTCCTGTTTTAGCTGCTGCCACTTTGCGGGGGTGGGGTGGGGTGGGGGGAGAAAAGAGGGGAGGGAGGGAGAGAACAGGGTTTGGACAAGGTCTGTTCTTAAATTTATTAAAAAACTATGAAACTCTGGTGGGAGCTTTCTGTGTGTGTATTTTTATTTTTATTTTCTTTTTGGCCAACCCACCGAATCCTTTTCTCATAGCATAGAGGAGAAAGAGGAAGCATCCATTCACACCCCCTCACTCCCCCCACCATCACCAGATCTTCCCATTTTAACATTCAGCCCTCGGTCCAGGTTTTTCTTAAACAGCTGATGTTTTTCTTAAACAGCTGATCGCATCAGTCCCAGCCAGGCACAGGATCACGATGAGGAGACGTTGTATAATCTCACAACATCTGGATGTCCATCTCTCCCCCCCCCATGCCTAATCCTGTCCCACGAGCTGGAGGAACAGAAGGGAACACAGAATCCACTCCGATCCTCTCTGTTCACTTTTCATCACCGTCCACCCCCCCTTTTTTCCTTGCGATGTGGGGGGAGGAGGACTTTTTTGGCAAGGCGGAGAGGTGCGTCAAGGATAAGGGCACTCTCTAGCAGAGGCGAGCGGGGGGTGGGTGGGTGGTCAGCCACTACCTGGGTTTTCTGCACACACACACACACACAAACACAGCCTTCAGTACAAGAACAGGGACTTTTTGACAACCGAAGCACGCCGCCCGTCAATTCAACAGGGAGAGCTTCCCGTCCATTCCGCACAGGGTTTCTCTTTAGCCGCCGGACCGTGGAAGGGAAGGGCCCCGCTCTGCTTCTGCTAGCACGGAACCCCATTTTAATTTTTGCAGCAAGGTGGGGTGGGCGTTCAGCTCGCCAAACGACAAGCCCGAGGGCGCTGGGGCCACCGCAGAGATATACAGGCGCCAAGTCCCGGAGGGGAACAGCAAGGGCTTTTGCCCCTGGTGTTTCTCTGCTGGGCCACCATTTCCAAATCCTTTCAGCCCAAGGTAGAAGCCGTGAGGCTACCTAGGCGGGGGGGGGGGGCAATTCTGCATTTTTGCATTCAAGGACCAGCTTCCCAGGGACCACCCCGGGTGAAAAGGGAGGCAGAGTGAATTTTTGGTTTGTTTTTTCAGCTGGAAGGATGTGAAAAAAATCATGCCCTCTCCCTGCCCGAGAGCCGGCCCTGAAACCGAAGACTATTTTTTTGGGGGGGTGACTTTTAGGAAGTTCAGAGTGGCGTTTTTCTCCATCCCTGTCCTGCCTGTCCCTGAGCTGTTTTGTGCACAATACTGTGTGATATTTTGTGCTAACTTGCTTCTTTTTTTGGTTAAAGGAGAAGGAAGGCAGGAAGGAAGGAACTCCCTGAGCCTAAACATATATTTTATGTGGATTTCGGAAGCCTTTTAGGGAAGCCACCCAGCGGCTGCCAAACGGCAAGGCCCGACAGGCGAGGAAAGATGGGAGTTGTAGTCCAGCCCCCTCTGGCGGGCTGGAAGCTGCCCATTCCAGTTACCTTTGGAGCAGGTCAAAGGTAACTGGAATTTAATTTAATTCCAGTTACAAGAAGAGAGCAGGGACCGAGGTCGAAACCACTGCTCCCCCACGGGGAAGAGCGTTTTGGATACCAACTTTATGAGGAATAGCCTTTTGCGAGGAACAAAGCAGAGTATTTGGCCTTATCTGCTTTCACAGACGAACACAGCGATCTTTTCTTAAATTGTAATTAAGCCGGGGATAAAATGCACGGGCAACCCTCTCCGACTATTATTATTATTTTCTTTCAAAATGGAAAAAGAGATCTTTTGCTAACCCCCCTGCCGAGATACACAAGCACGCACTCTTTTTAAAAAAAAAAACAATCGCCCTGCGTTGTGCCCATTAAACAAGAAGATGCAAGGAGAGGAAATAGGGTAGCGTGGAGGTATCGCGTAAAGGCAAGAAGAAAGGAAAACAGAATAGGGGGGGGGGCTTATCGCGTCATCACGCCCAGCTTCTCCAAGATCCGGGTCCCCTTCTCCAGATATTCTGACCGTTGGAGCCAAAAGCTGTCTTTGTCTTTCATGATATCGGCGAGAACAGCTCCACCTAAGAAGACCATGTGCTTCCGGCGCGGCGGGTCCTCGATGCGAATCTTGAATTTCTGAGGAGGGAGGGGGGAAAAAACGGGGAAGAAAGATAGATGCGGCCAATTCAGTTTGGAAAGATGAAATCAAATCTCGGTCCCCAGTTCCCGAGCACAGAACACTTTCTCGTCGGAAAGCTTGCTCCGCACGTTGGCATAAAGGGAGGAAACGCCGGCTCGCTTTCGACGAGCAGATAAGCAAAAGAAAGGACTGTGTTCTATCCTCTCTATAAGACCTGAGTTTACTACGTGCGTACCTGTTGGTAATTGTGAATATAGGCGCGCTATCTGATGGCGGTTAAATTAAAGTAGTATTATCGGACATCGGCATGAATGCACTTTCATTCGCGGTGTTTATTACTAGTCTGCGCAGAGTATCGCTGTGGATCTTGTCTAATTAAAAATACCGAGGCAGCGGCTGAATAGGCGTGGAAGCTAAAAGGGATTTCGGTGGGTTTGGGAAGGTCAGGATGAGGGCGATGGCTGGAGAGTCGGAGTTGGTAGAAGGCCAGAGAGGTGCAAAGCACAGACGGGATTTCCGAACAACCCCCCCCCCCAAAAAAAGAGACAGCGGTCTTGAGAGCATCACCCCCCTGAAATTGACTTCGGCTTCGTTTCCTTGATGGGAATTCTGGGAAATTCCCATTAGGGAAACAATTCCCAGAGGTATTCTGGGAAACTGGGGTTTCGGATGCAGCTGGAGCCCTTGCCACAGGGTGTTTTATTTGGGGGGGAGAGGAGCGCAGCTGAAGACTGGATCCAGATGTTTTGGCCGCCAGAGGTGAGCGACACCATGGTGCCGTCTGTCCTGCCCTTTCCGGGAACACAGGACAACCGAAATTGATCATCGAACCTTACTCCACAACACCTCTGAGCAGAAGGCTTGTTCGAGGGCTGTGGAGGCCGCCCCTCCGTGTCTGCCGCCTGAGGCCGCCATCCCACCGTAGGCAACGTTCTCCAAACCCTTGAAAGGTGGCCCAGAGCATCCTCCCTGGAAGATCTGCCACACGACTCCTGTCCAGCGGCTCAGGAGCCACGGACCGAGTCGGCAGAGTAGCCCACGGGATGCTTGTCCACCTCCCTCGGACGGTTCACGATCAACACACACACACACAAAAAAACCACAACTCACCGACAGCTTTTCCACGTCCCCCTTCAGCACCCGTTCCAGGTACAGCTGTTTGATTTCACGCTCCAGGCGGGACGGCAGTCCTGGGTACATGGTCGAGCCTCCCGAAAGGACGATATGTTTGTAAAACTCAGCCCTACGTTAAGAAAGCAGGAAGGGAGGAAGGAGAAGATGAGGAATGATGATACACACACACACACACACACTCCTGAGATACAAGAAGGGTCCCACCTTTGGACCTGCTCGGACAAGACAGAAATGGAAAGCTCACTGCACCCATCGCAGAAAACGGGCGCCACCTGTAAACCACCTGTTGTAAGGTGCGGTGACCCTCTCCAGCTGGGCTTCCCCATCGGTGGACCCCCAATGTTGAACCTCTCAACCCCCAGAAATCCTGGCCAGCCCAGTTGTTGGTGAAGGCTTCTGGGAGTTGTAGTCCAAGAACACCCAAGTCACCCGAGGTTGCGAAACCACAGCTCTATCATGTGCAAAGCGGCCAGCGGCGCATGCCCTTTGCTATGAAACCATATCTACACCCCCACGCCCAGCTTTCTATTATTTTTCCCCTTGTGTGTAGGTAGTGTCGTTTTTGTCTGCTTAATCATCTTCCCCTAGCTGTGAGACATTTGAAACAAGGGCGTCAGTAAATTAAATTAGATTAAATTTAATGTAATTAGATTAAATTAAATTAGATTAGATTAAATTGGTATAGGTAAAGGTAAAGGAAGTAGTAAGTGTTACATAACAGCACTGATGTTACCTGTCTGTCATGGGTTTGGAGGGAAAGTTCCATCCTATGGGGAGTGGAAGGCGGGACATCAGGAGGAGGGGCTGTACTGTATAAATATGTGATGCCTGTGTGGTGAAGAGTAGATGCTGAGACACTGTGAGACACTGGGTTTTGGGACGAAGCAAAGCAGCAGCTGGGAAGAAGAAGCTGTTGTGGGAGTCTGGGTGTCTGACAGGGTACTACTGTGTGTCAGAGTACCAACCTGATAAGTTCAGGTGTCTGTGGGTTAGCCAGAACTGATGGGTTCAGGGTCTGTGCTTTAAGTTAAAGGTTCTAGGTGAACCAAACTGTATGCTTGTGTGTGTGAGAATAAGCCACGTTACTTTATTTTATTCACCTGATTGTTTTATTTACCCTGTTTGTATTTAAAATAAACCTTATTCTTTTGTTGTTTAAAAATCCATCCCTGGTCTGTGTGACTTATTATAGGGAATGGTTGGTGGCAGCTTAGTAACTGTGTGATAGATCCCAGTAGGTCTGGGTTTGTCACATTGATTGGTGTCCAGCGTGTGGGATACGACTGGTCCAGTTGTCCAGCGGTCCAGCAAAGCCTTGGCAAGTGTGCCCAGAGCAAGGGGGGTCTAGTCAGGGACAGTCCGAGGCGCGTAGGTAATCTTCTAGGTGTACCTCACGGGGAGGTGCACTAGTAGAAGAACGTGCCAACTGGGGAGACTTAGATTAAGGTGCTCTGAGGCAGCCTAGTTTTGGCGGGAAAAAGCTGAGGAAAAACTGCGTAGCAACAGCGAGCTAGCTTGCCAGCTGAGAGGCCCAGCAGAGGGGGGTAGGCTCTGACTCGATACTGTTGCAAATTTAGTGCTGAAGAACAGCAGCAATCTCTAGGGAGAGCTGGTTCTGAGGCAAGAAGGAAAAGTGGTCGTTTTATTCTGAGGCTTGACTTTTTAAAGCAGCCTGTTCTGAGGGGGGATTATGCCCTTGACTCGAAGCAAGATAGCAGACATGAGTGAAGTGAAAGACCCCCAGATTGACCAAGGTTCTGAGGATGAATTTGGCTCAGTGCAGGGTGACAGCACAGGAGAACAAAACCCAGAACTTAGGAAAATGATCATAGCCCAACAGCATGAACTGAGGGTGAGGGAAATGGAGGAAAGATTAGAGAGAGAAAGAAGAGAGGAAAGGGAGAAACAAAGGCAATTTGAATTAGAGAGAGAGAGAGAGAGAATGGAGAGGGAAGAAAGAATGGAGAGAGAGAAAATGGCGTTTGAATTAAAAAAA